ACCTAATTCTTCCAGCCCGGGCCAGCTTAAAATTTTTTAAAAAAAATTTTACCTGCCAAAACCCGAGCAAATTTTATTTTTTTTATTTGTTCCTAAGAGCCCGACCAGAAAATTAAAATGTCCGTTCAGCCCAGGCAGAATTTATTTAAATATAGAAAATATTTTTATAAAATACACATACTTTTAAGTTTGACGTTCATGTTAGTTCGGCTGTATTCTGAAATACGCCTAACTGTTTAAATACTTAATTTATGCTATATTTTAATCCATTTTTAACCGGATTTATAGAAATGATTTATAGAACTCATACCCTTTTTTGGTTTTAGCAGTATATCCGGTCAATTCCAAAAATAATTCAATATAATTTCATAGATTGAGAGGGGATAAATTATCAAAGTTTTCTGCAATTTTCATTAAATTTTATCAACAGGGTCCAAAGTTCTGGATAAACAAAATTCAATTTTTCATAGTTATAAGCAGACGATAATAACAAGAATAATGATTTTCAGACATTTTTTTATATTTATTTTATATCAACTTTACATTTAAGCAGACGATAATAAGATAAATTGTTATCCTAAAAGATAACTTGAGTTTAATTAAAAAATTAAGACAAGAAAAACATTACGGAACCAAAAAGGTTTCTGAAGGAATTTCCTAACAGAAACTGGTCTATCCTATCGCATCTGAATGATTGATTGCTGACGCTACTAGATCAGCAGAAAACGGTATGGTAGATTACGCACAGCTGGTATTATGGAAATGTTTATTCCGTGGTTGAAATATTTGCCTAGAGCTAAGAAGACCGGCCTGGCACTTACTGAAAAATTCATCAGGTATCCCGCGAAACTGGTATTTCGCAAATTCCAGTGCATCGGATTATCCACAAAGAGCTTTAGTTGAAAAATGGAAGCAAGCCCAGGACCTAACCTATGCGAATACTATTGCCCCTCTGGTAATACCAAACAATTTCTACGAAAATACCTTTCAGAGATTAGTTCATTTTATGTAGCTCAGTATAAAAAGGTTTACATTAACTCTGGTGTTTCAAAGAAAAATGCAAGTTGCAGTCAATCGATTGCTAGTACAACATCAAAGTAATTTTTAAATGTTGATTATTTTTTTCATGTTTTTTGGTAGAGTTGGAAAAGTAAAATATATAAAAAAAATTTTTTTTTACAAGTTTGAAAGGTATTTTGTTTACCCAACTTTAAATGGGCATAACTTTAAACCCTGTTGATATAATTTGATGAAATTTGGAAAATCATTAATAATTTATCCCTCTCTTCAATCTTTAAAATTTTGTTAAATTATATTTATGATTGAGACAGACTTATTGCTAAAACTAAAAGGGGAACACAGTGTCTACACGTATACATAAATATTTAATCGATAATATAATGCTTATTTAGTTTATAAAAATTTGGAACCTTTAAATGCCAATGTTTTTATTTTATTATAAATCACCTAGTACTTCTTTGGCACATTTAAGAAATTCTAGAGTGAGTTTTCATTTCTATTCTTATAAAGAGTTAAATATTAACCATTCATTGACAGACTAAAAAAAAATATGATAAAAAAAACCCCCTTGAAAATCATATAAAATTAGAAAGCAATTAAATTTCTTTCAAATTTTTCTACAAATGTAGAATGGCTGCCATTATATTTGAAACGATGAAATCTATAAAGTAAAATTTTTTTAAAAATTTATATGGCTGTCAATATATGAAGCGATGAAATCTATGACAAATAACTTTTTTATAAATATATAAAGCCGTCAAATATTTTTGATATGATAGATATAAAAAATATTTTTTTACGAAGCTAATATGGCCACCAATACATTTAAGGCTATGAATCTATAAAAAAAATTTTTAAAACACAATCTTAAAGAATAGACGATTTCAGAGATTTTTTTACAATTTAGTGAAAATCAACAACGGGAGTCAACAGGAAATGGGGGGTGGGGGTGATATAAAATAGATCAAAAGAGAAGCTGTTCGGATATAATAACAGATGACATAAACGGGTTTTAAACTAGTTAACCAATTTATAAACAATTAAAATTGAGATAATAATTTAAATAATTTCTCAAAAATATATGGCCAAAATTTTGATAATAACAATAAATTGAAAATGAAAAATATTATATTTAAGAAAATTATTCGAATATTTTTTATACTAAGGGCTGTGCCTCTCCACCAATGACATATAATAATATCTAGACTGACTATGCATTCATAATAATGCATTTGAAAGCGTCGTTGAATACAAATCAGCTGGACCCACCCTCCATTTTGGTAACCCATATAGTAATTATTCTCATGATAAAAACTGCTATTAAATTGATAACTTCTTTCGATCGCGATGATCAGGCAATTCTTTAAAAACGTTTGCGTCAGACATAGGAATAAATTGACCTCTTGTTTAAAATTATGGGTAACCAAAATGGCATTCCCAGCTGTTTTTCATTGATGTACACTTTTAATGAATGCATCGTCAGTCTAGGTATTATTATATGTCATTGCTTTCCACATACATGAACCAGATATTTATTTTTTACCATCCATCTTTGACTCAAATATATTTTTCGGTGCAAAAAAAGTCAAATTCTACATTTAATTTTTATTTATTTCTACAATTATGACTAAAATTTAAAAAAAATAATTATATTATTATAGAGATGTCAAAAAAAATAAATATATAATGCATTTTATATTGAATAATGTTGGTGTATGATGAATATCGAAATAGTTATATTTAATTAGATTTTTCTAAATAAAAACGAGGGTGCGATGAGCAAGAGGACAATGCCCCCCCCCCCACCCATCCTACCCAAGACAAAAAAAATTATATACCTGCTAAAATGTTTAAAATTATTATTCGTACCTCTTATCGTTTACTACAAATTTATTCCATGAGTTAAAATCGGAGGGCACATTTTACTTCCAATTTCTTTCCGGGGGGGAGGGGTGGCAGGATATAGGCATCTAATGGAGGGGGGGGGGTGTTTCAAGTCAGAAAAAGGAGAAATTCAACTCTATTTAGAAGTCACTATAAATTTCAAATTGAATAACAATTTGTATAAATTTCTTTAGGCTATGAGACCGATCGTTATAACGGGTTTGTACCATTCCTATTTTTAGTAAAATTTCATGATTGGTTTATTTCCTTTTTTTTTTAAAGTGAATTTATGTCGTTTCATTTAGGGTTTTTGAAATTTTGAATAATTAATCATAATATTTGATCAACTTAATAAAATTTGTTAAATATTTTAAAAAATTAAATAAAAATATTTTTGAAAACTTACAAATAAAAACCAAACAGAAATTAGTTGAATTTCATTATTTTATTATGAAATGAAATAAGTAATTGAAAATTATTTTAAATTATATCCATCTTTTAATTAAATAATTTTGAAAGTAAGTTTAAATCGGTTCGAACACATTTATAACCGTTGGTTCTCTGAAAAATATTCTTATAATGGTTCCTCTAATATTTATAATTCGGTTTCAAAGTCTGAGACACCCTATATCAAATAATTATTTTCATACTTTTTTTGCACATTAAAAATAAATTTTGCTTTTATGCCCGAACCCTAAAATTTTAAGGATTCTTTTCAATTTTTTTTCTTAAAAATGACCTTATTCCATAATTAAATTCGAATTTCGAGAACCCATATTAAAAAAGATTTCGGGTTTGAATTATTTTCGAAAAGCTGTTTTATTTCCTATTCCTATATTTAAAAAAATAATCTAGTTCCGGTTAATATATTTGATCTCATTCCACAGTTGCTGGAAATTTTATGAGACTGGTGTCCGATTAAACCTATTTAAAAAAAATCATAAATATAATTTATCTTTGAATTTAAAATTGGTCAGCTTATATTTTAGCCCAGAAAAATTTGCCTAAGCCTCGAGGTTTCTCTATTAGATGTCCAAACCTTTGTGCCATATATGATCAAAATCTTTAAGCTTGCGAAATATTTTCTGGATAAAATATTTAATTAGACTTTTTTTTTAAAATCGGCTCAAATCAAGAAGTTAAGTGAGAATTACCCTATAAAAAAAGTTTGAATGGGTGTTAGTCCTTCTGAATATATGTAGAAAGTTGATACCAAGCACTGTAGAAATCATTAAAAAAATGCTCAATCCCAAAGAAAATTGAATTTTTTATTATAAATTTACATTAATTATGTTTTTGTGCTTTAATCTACCCCCCCCCCCCCCCCCCCAAGAGAATTCTTGCCACACGAATGCAGGTTTTTATCTGTATAGATTTAAGGCCGTTCCATTTTTTTAAAAACAAAGAATATCGGATCGGGTTTTTAAAAGTATCGGCCCGATCTGATATTTAATATCTGCACAGCCCAATTTTTTTTACTATTCGAATTAATATTAGGGTTTAATTACTCGAATGTAATTAACAAAATTCGAATAATTAAAATTATTTGTATCCAAAATATTAGTCAGATTTGAATATCATTTGCTAGATTTATGGTACTAATATTATATAAATACATATTTAAAAACGTTATTCCTCATATTCCAAAAGCACCCAATTTACCAACATAATTTCACAGTCCTCATTTATCGCTAGACAATTGACTTATAAGTGGTATTTAACCTTTCCTTTAAAAAAATTCTTTTATCAGGTTTTATACAATTTTGGATACCTTTGCCACCTAATATAATATAGATTTACTAAAATCTCAATCCTACTTAGAAAGTGAGGTATCAACGTCAGGGGAAGAGGATGGGCGTATAGATGCTTAAAACCCTTGATTATTATTTTTAAATTTTTGACAAAAAAAATTTTTCTTCTTATTTCAAGATTTCAAAAAGTGAAAAGCTAGCGACGTCAAGGGAAAGGCCTTTAATACAGCCAAAATACGCGGAGGAGATGGAATCAAATAACAATTAATAATAAATAATACGATAAGGTTTATAATATGTTAATATAATAACACTATAAAAATTTAAATTATAAAATAGTATATAAATCATAATATAATAAATTTTCGTTATAAGAGTTTCATGATGTTCTAATTCCTTTACCAGACTAGAAAACAAAAATTTAGAAAAAGTTGAGGAACCAATACATGCTAACGCTTCGTCCATTGTGATCCAAGTTTTGTTCATCTATCCACACGAGACCATCTTTGATTAGATAATTGATACCTTTTATAAATAACAAAATATAAAAAGATCTGATTCTCTTTAAAGTTTAAATGCTCAGCATCAGAATTAATGTTTTGCAATTTTTTTATGTTCGGAAAAATAATTCGATATTTAAACGAAATATAGATTATGCGAGTTCAAAAAGTAAGAAAAAATTAACTACCAATGGAGGCCATATAATATCTTTAGGCTTTTACTTACACGAGGAAGATATAAAAAAATGATCTTTAGAATTTCTTATATAATCAAAAAAACAATGCGAGCTTTTCTTATTATTCAATAATTCAAGATAATGAAACAATGTATCCTGACAAAGATGCACAGACACCTTCTATAAAAAAATGTATAAAGAAAGTAGATAGATGGAGATAATATTGATAGCATCTACAATTTAGATATATTAACATCCCTGCAAAATATGATTTACTAAAATATATCGTTATATCTAATTTTTTTAAAAATACTTAAGTGTTTTATTATAAATATCATGTAAAATAATCAAAATTTTCTCATCTATTTAATGACGGATGAATCAAAAATTTCCCCTTTATTTTATGAGGTATGAATAAAAAAAAAAAAATAACCTAACCGAACCCGTTCAGGTTCCCAACCAGTGGCTTTAACCATTTCGTCGAATGTCAACGCGGCTTTCCCGGTACTTCCGGTATCTTTACTTATCTGTAATATAAATATTTTTTAATAATATACAATTTATTGGCTTCAACTTTTAGAACTTTTCAAATCTCTCGGTATATTATTAAATTCCTATCCGATAAGGCGTCTTAATTAATATTTTTAAAATTAATAATATTTTTATATAATTCAACATTGATCATGAATAACTAGTTGGGATTCTACTTTCCACTTGATAGAAACATGAAGTTGCGAAGCTTAATATACAGGTAGAATAATGGGAGTAGGAGATATTCACTACAGGTCCGCTTGGGATCGGGTGAAGCGTTATTAGAATTTACTTTATACTTTAATAATAATCTAGAAATTTTAATAATCTGCAAAAGCATTTTAATAGACTATTTTTCAAGAATAAAATATTATATTAGAATTTCATAAGTTTAAAAAAATTTACGCATAATAAGATATATGATAAATAACATAAAATGCGCAATTGGCGTCAGGTTTTTTGAAAGTAAGTGTTGTATGTATTAGTTTTAATCTTATATAAAAATTTGTGCCATAGATAAGAAATCTCCAGGATTGGTCAATATATTTTTTGGATAAAATCTTTTTTGTGGATAGATTTGGTCCTTTTCGAGTTCCCAAGGATCCAAAAAATCGGCCAAGTCCAACAATTTAACAACACTACTGATTGTTTCGTTCATTGCAAAAAACATCATAATAAAGAAAGCACATGAAATCGATCGTAAATGTCAGATACTGAAATGGTTATTCGGTTGCATTAATAATATATAAATTAATTAAACTTAAAGTGAATCGTTGTAAAAAAAGAGGTTAATGTTAGATATAACATGGCACTTGTTTACTCATTTTCTAGAAGCGTCTCTGGCCAAGTTGGATGAGTGCCTGTATTTCAATCCGAAGATCCTGGGTTCGAATCCCGTAAGATCATGTTTATCTTTCTTAAGCCAAATTGGTGGTTCAATACTTGGGAGATGATATATAGTAGATCGAACTCGACCACGTGATTCCATTAATAAATATTAAAAAAATAAATAGGTCTTAAGATTTTTTTAAAAAAAATGAACGTTGTTTAGTAATTGCTATATGTTGGTTGACTATCCGATATCTAACATTAGCCTAGAAGAAGATCTTTAAAGAAAAGCTGACAAATAGCCAAAGTTTGAATTATTTTTGCAAATCTGTATTGGCGTGTCTGGCTGATTTGAAAAATATTTTAAAAAATACTTCATTACTCATATCTTCTAACAATTCAATTCTTTCCATTCAATTGATCAAAATTGATGCGCCAACTTTTCAAAATGATTTTGAAATAAGAAGTATATATTGTAGTAAAATTATCTCTTTTTTAAAAATTATTTTAATCTGACCTTACTTGATTCTTTTTTGCTATCTCCTTCTTTCTTGACCCTGGCTAGTTCTATGAGCCTCAAATGGTCAACGGTTAAATCTCCTGGAGCGCATTGAACATATATTTCTTCTTCGTCGTCATCTTCTTCACTCTTTTTCCCGGGGTTTCCTTCGAGTATTTCGGTAGTGGATATCTTAGTTTCACTTTTGGGCAACCTAAATATGAGATGTTAATTTTTTATAATTTCCTATCTTCTCTACTCTCCTTATTTTTTTCATTTTCATCTCTTCTCTAAATTTCAACATATATCCTACCTAGGAAATTTTGAATCAAAAAATTTAAATTGATAAACTTGAAACTTTAATGAAAACCAATAAATACGCTGATTTTTAAATATAAAAAAAAACATGTCCAGATAATTTAAAATAACTCAAGTATATATTTGAGAGGAATGTGATATTGAATTTAATTTTCTTAAAAAAAAGGGGGTTTTATTCCTTTATATTTACCTAACAACCCTGAACCCGTTGCCCAAATGTCTTTCCACGAGTCTAATAGTCTCTAGTATATCAGCGTCATTTATGGGCGGCGCGTAAGGACCTCTACTGCGCGTAACGTCACGAGTCAATTGGCTAAGTGGAAGTATACCTCCGTTACGCGTCCGGGAGGCTAAACAGGCTTCAATCACCTATTCGTAAAAATAATACATCCGAACATGAAAAAAATATGGTTAAAATGGAGGATATCTAAGTCACCACTAATAAACTTGAAGATAGGTAACGAGTTGATGAGGAAAAATAATTTCAAGACAACATACCATAACTTATCCGATACCCCTAGTAGAACCGGACTACTTGAAAGATATATGGAGGCAATTCCTTTTTACCCCGCCAACCTGCCCTCCCACTTCCCGTTAATATAGAAAGTGTGCTAATTTGATGAGGATCCATTCCGTGGTATCCAATTTAAAACGGAGTTTAACAACAATATTTTTTAAAAAAAATCAGCCATTTTGAATAAGGAATTTTGGGGAAAAATTTGATCAACAGTTTGTGAAATTTTGATCTAACCCCTTTACATTACGGTGACAATACTACTACGCAATATTAAATTATACCTGCACGGCCAATTCAGTGTAAAATCTTGTTAGAAGTCCGCTTTCTCTTCCCAAAAATATTTTTCCGATCATGGAGAGAGAAGGATCCCGGGCGCTAGAAAGGGGGTCGACCCCGAGGGAGGCGCACATGGCGTGAAATTGGGTTCGGAGGGTGGGGTTTGATCTTATATCGTTACCGTGCTTGGCCGCAAAGCTTTGCAATCTAGGTAGATAGGGTTGGCAAAAATTATGATTATTTATTATAAAATCAAAAGCTTTTAAAAAAAACGATTTATTTAATTAAAATTAAATTTTATAATATAATAAATAGTTTTTTTTAAAAAAAATAAACTCTTGCGTAAAATAAGTTATGAGTCAATGTTAATGTTAATATTGAATTGACTAAAAAGTATTAATATCAAAAATAGTATCGAATATTGATAAAATTATATATTACCATTTTTTTAATTGAAAAAAAATGTTAAAGATTATTATAATTAAATTTTATAGAAACTAGAATACATATAAAATGATTTTTGATATCTTTTTTAATTTTAACAATGTTAAAATGATTTTATAGGAGTTTATACCAAAAAAATAGCAATTAATTAAAACTTGTATGGAAAACATATCTTTTTTAGATTTTCTTGTATTTTGTATTTTTATGGAAAGTGGAGGTTGGTTACAAAGGTAGGTCATTTCAAAATTATTAAGCTATTTTAATTGATATATTTACACGTGAATCAATCAATGATATCTAAATCAAATGAGTCAGCTTCAGAATCGGTTCAATATTTTTATATTTGAATATAAAACTAGTATTGGAATTAAATAAATACAAAAAAATAAGAATTAATTTAAATGATGCTTTTTATTCAAAAAAAAGTTATAATTTTTTTTTTAAATCATTGATTTAATCGTCATTTTAATCAATTTAATTATGCTAACTAGTGTTGTTAAAATACCCGATTCGGGTCGATTTTTAAAAATGGCCAGATAAAGATTATATCCAAATGAACATTATATAAGCCTCGAGATTTTAATGGTCCAAACTAAACCTTTTTACAATCTATGAGTAAAAATATCTAGGGTTACAAAAATATTATTTTGGCTATAATCTTAATTGAGCCGTTCTTAAGAATTGACTCAAATCGGGCTTTTGGAAACACTAATGCTAACCCTACTAGTTGGTGGACTAAGCGCTATTTGATTGGTTACATTTAAAGTGAAATGAAGGAATATTCATTATTTAATATATACATACAATAAATAACGCCAATTCTTTCGAACCTGTCTTTCAAAGTTTCTACAGAGCGCGTCAAGAGTGCGAGCCGAGCTGATGCCATCTCACTTCCTTTGGCCTTATAACGATCTCGCGCCATTTTATCTCGCTCCACCGAGGCTAGACCTGCCTTGCGACGCATTTAAAGGCGGGAAAGGAGGGGGTTGATTTTTTATTTGGTGCAAGGGATTCCTGATATATATATATAAATATTAAACAATAATAATAGTATATTAATAAAGATAAAAATAGAGAATAGAAAGACTTTGAATTTAACATTGATGCTAATTAAGAACAAATATATGTATAAATAAAAGGAAAGTTTTTTTTGCCATGTTTGATTAAAACATTTTATTGCTTCTATTAATATTAAAACATTTCTCAAGGATGGAGATATTGTATAGGGCAGGCTTTTGGAAGAGGGATATTTTCTCTTTTATCCCCCCCCTGGCTATGCCTATGGAGTAAAATAACTTGTTTTATTAAATCCATTAAAATTAATGGGCTGTAATAATTTATTAGATATCAAGATTAATTTTGTTTAATTTATAGTAATGTTTAAGCATTAAGTATTTTTTTAGTAATAAAAGCTTTGATCATGATATTAAATCAATTCCAAGACAAAAGAGTAAAGTGTGAAGAGAATCACAAAGCTTTCTCTAAGAGAGGTATGACCAATTGTTTTTGATTGGTAAATTCCTGTTCCCTTTATAAATACAAGTGTCAATTTCCAATGTAAGCAGATTAAAATTAATGCATTTATCATTTCATTTACTTTTATAACATTATTAATAAAAAAACGAATAAATCACATTTAAAAAAAAAAATTGAACAAAATTTATATCTATAAATAAAACCAAAAATTTAAAAGAAATTTAATAAGATCATAGTATTATAAATTATGTCTATTATAATGAGTAATTAATTCTAATAATAAAATTAAAATAAGATAAAACCACTATGACTATCACATCTTATTATTCAAATAACAAAATATTGTTAGCTTCCTTGCAAAAAAAAAACCTGGCCTTGCATAATTCACATGAGTTCTTAAAGGATTGGATTGTTATAGTAGCATTTATGTCATGGTTTAATCATAGAAAGTTGTATATTTAAAAAAAGTAGATTTTTACTGTGAAATGTTAAAAGATATATTGTAAATTAGAAACAATCTTATTAGTTAATCAGATTGGTTATTAATTATTATCAAAATGACTTCCAAAATGTGGTATCATCTTCATATAAAAATTCTTCTAGGTGACAAATTCCTTGAAGCTATTAAGTTAACAATCCAGCTATCACAATGAGCTAATAAAAATGGCTTCTATCCAAACAATGCAATCACTCAACCCTCACTTATATGTGAAAAATTGGATAAGTTTATATGACTTAACCAAATCAACAAATATTTAAAAATTAAAATACAGAATTATTTAAAATTGACTATGGTTATTGATAATAGTAGTTTAATGACTATTGGTAATAGCAGAGTTGTTAAGATATTAAGAAACAAAAATGTTAGAGTTGTTAAGATATTTAGAAACAAAAATGTTTTATCTGTATTTATATAAAAATCAATTAAATATATATCTAGAGAGGTGATTTTCATAAAATATAAACATTGCTGCCATCAAGTGTCCATGTAGAGACTTTTAGTATGGCTAAAAATTTATTTACAGAAAATTTTTTTGGAAATGTCTATACTAACAATATCTAACATTTATTATTTTGTATAGGTATTAGATCTAACAATCATTTTTTATCTATAGATGAGATATCAACTCAATAAAATTTTGTCTCATTTCAAAATTTGAATTATAATAGAATCCTATTTAAACATTATGCACACTAGAGGTCTACAATGGGTAGGTTTTAACTTAAAACGCTGATAAAACTATTATGTCAATATTAAAAAATAATATATAATATAAATTTATCCATTATTTAAAATCAATATACCTTGTTTTCTATAATAAATAAAATAAATGATTAAAATATGAAAATTTAATGTAGCGTTTGACCGAAACATACGAGTAAATTTAGATAGGCATTTTATAAATGTATTAGTAAAGTACATTTTTTTTATTGATTAACCCGTTATAATCTTTTGAAATATATAATATGAAATTATTTAATATAAACAAAAACTGAATTAATATTAAAAAGATGTTTTGTTTACAAACAATTAAGATTAAATTAGATTCGATGAATAAAATTCAATATTTCGCATAAGAATCTAAGTCATATGATTTTTTAAAAGAGCATGTCGAAAAGATTAGCTCAAGTTAAAAAAGGCAAAAAACTTCTAGATAAAGTCAAGGTTGGGAATTTTTTAAGACTTAAAATTCCAGCTGGTAAAGCATCAGCAGCTCCACCGTTAGGACCACAACTAGGCCAGGTTATTATTTAAATAAATGCCATAATATAATTTAATTAAGCATTCTGTCAATGTTGCCCAATTTTGTAAAGAATTCAATCAAAAAACTGAAAATGTAAGATATGGTGTGCCTATTCCCTGCAGTATAAAAATTAATGTACAAGAAATTAAATAGATATTTGCCCATCTTAATTTTTATCATGATATTTTATTTAAACTTATTATATTTTCTTTTTTTCATTGTAAATGTTATTTAAATTATCTAATTATATTCAATGAAATCACATTTTTTTAAAAGCCTGATAGAACATATAATCTGACAATACATCCCCCCACTGCTACCTATTTCTTATTTTCAGCTGCTGGAATAGTGAGAGGAGCAATGAATCACGGTAAATATAAAATATATTATTTTAATCTAGACTGACAAATGTTAAATATTTTTCAACAACCAAATTATAATATATAATAGTTGATTTATAATAATTAATTATATTTGTATCCTACCTTAATAAATATGGATGTATTAAATAAATTCTCTAGACTGATAATTATGTTTACGATTAAAATTTTCTTACACTAAGATAACTTTGTAATTATATATAAAGCCAAAGAACATGCTGGAATGCTATCACTAAAACACATTTACGAAGTAGCAAAGGTTAAAATCGAAGATCCAAATTTACTAGGCATATCCATGTCTAAAATGTGCAGAATGTTGATTGGTACTTGCCACTCCCTAGGCATAAAGGTGGTTAAACAACTGGATACTCAAGAATATGAAAAGTTTCTGCAAGAACGGGACAAAGTTGTTGAAGATCAAATTAGAGAAATTCAAGAGAAAAAACAGGCAAAACTATTAAGAACAATTACTTGATTTTATTTTGATATGTAATTGATTTTGAATGAAAATTTAAATGGGGAAATGAAAATATAATTGTGATATTATAATAGTGTACATATAATATGGATATGTTTAAAGCTTGTTATATAAATAGTTTATCTATATTTAAGTTCCACATTATAGTTGTAAATTATAAATATAAAGTACCAGATCTGACACTGAGCTGGCTTTGAATCCTCTATATTTAGATCTGGTTGGTTATATTTAAATGACCCATTCCATTTTTAAAGAAATATATATATATATTAATGTAATGAAAAATTAAAATTCATAAATGGAAAAAATTAATAATTTTTTATTCATTGTTTAAAATTTTAAAAAATTAATAAACCTACCTCAATAACATAAGGCCTAGATTTTTTTTTATAAATCAGAGAAATACAATTTTTATAAAACTTATTTTTTTTATTATCATGATGGAAATCTCTAATTAAATTTACATTCTACATATAAAATAAATGTTTATAAATATTTTTTTTCTAAGATCTTGAAATAGACCTAGCTGAATAAATGAATAAAATTTTGGATTTAGCCTACTCTTTAGAAAAATGCATCTGCTACATCTGTGGTTTTAAGGTTGAATAAATTCAAATGATTCTAACTTTGTATTATTTTTGTAGGCACAATTATAGGGATTCCTTATGTTTTTTAAAAAGAAAAATGGGGTTTAAAAGTAGTGTCGTTAAATTGCTCATCCAAGTCAAATTAGCAGTGTTGTTAAACGGCTCGTTTTGAGCCGATTTTTAAAAACGGCTAACTCAATATTTCACCCAGAAAAATATTACGCAAGCCTGAAGATTTTGCTCATAGAAGGAACAAAGGTACATATAGTAATGAAATCTCGAGGCTTAGGCAATATTTTTCTGGATGGAATATTGAGTTAGCCGTTTTAAAAAATCGGCTCAAAATGAGCCGTTTAACAACACTACAAATTAGCCATAAATTTTGTCAGGTTTAAAGCCAATAAAACCACCTTAACCTGGTTAGTTGCACGAACTTACCCATTATTGTTTTGTGAGTTAGCTTTTAATACTATTTTTAAACTCGACGGTGTTTTATCTCCAACTAAATTGTTCATTTACAGGTATACCTGGGTAGGCCATTTTTCCTTCTAATCGCTTTTCTCCATTTTATGTGGTCCTGGGTATCGCTCCGAAAGCCTAACTTTTTCATGTCATTATCCAGCACTTTCATTCAGCATGTCCTTGGTCGCACTTAGGTCTTGTTCCATCCGCTTCCAATCAACGTCATCTATTCAACCGATTACCCTTTGGCTTCCGTTCAACATACCAAAACTATCTGAGTCTATAAGACATCACTTATTGCTTCTATCTCAATCCTTTCTCTCAGCTCCTGGTTTATTTTTCTTTCTCGCTGAGATACTCCGCATAATCGTCTACATTTTCATCTCCGATCTTTCTAAATAGGGTTTAGCGAGTAGCCTTAATTTACCCATGTCTCGCTGCCGTACATTATACAACTTCTCACACAGTTTGCATATATTTTTTCCTTAAAAGCTTGAGAGACAATTTTATCGGTTAAAATTGAAGGCATCTCTCTAAATTTTTTCCAAGCACACCTTACCCTCGCCACCATTATAATGGCTGAAGCCTCCATTTACACTAAGAATATCACCTAGGTAACAGAAACTTTCTAATTTTTTCCAAAATAAATATAATTGTGCCGTGTTTTGCTTCGCTAAAGTAATATGTTTGAATTTAATATTAAACCTTCATCCAGAATCATAGACTCTCCACGAAAAAGAAACAAATTAAAATTTTACTTATTCTCTACTCCAAATCAAAATTCAAAAAAAAAGGAAATCCAAATTTTCTCTTTTCAATTTTATTAAAATTACGATGAATCTTCAAAATCATAACTACCTATCTCCTCCAATCTAATTTTAATGGCCCATCTTACGTTATGCTTCCCGAGTAAAAGTTTATTGATTTCTTCAGCTTCCTTTTTAAAAATCAATCAAAATGTTCAATTGCGATTTCTGTCCAATGGATTGCTTGTATATGGATACGGCGTTGCTAATTTCCAATGGTCCTTACTGATTCCTAAAAATACAGATAAAAGTTCTCCTTATGGCTATTTTTGGTCCATTCTAAAGAACAGTTTAGTATAGGTGTAAAGCATGTTCTAGGTTGGAGTTTTATAGAGTCGCTCGAACATAAAATAAGGGTTATGTAAAACCCTGGGTTGGTATGTGATTATCCTTCATTTAGGAGATGGGGCAGGAAAATATTTTTTTCAGATATGGGGTTTGATTATTTACATTTAAGCAAAAGTTTTTTTTTTTTTTAAATTGATTTCATTAGGTTGTTGTAATGACAGTCAGTATGCTTTTTTCCCAGATTAAAATGGCAGTATATTGATTTTTTTCCTCTAAAAATTAGTACTCCTTTTAAATTCAAATGCCTGTATAAGCCCAAAAAAATGTTGTGATTTCATATGAAAGTAATTGGCTAGCGATCACGTGGCTCCAAGCACTTCTCCTCCTTAGGATAAATCAGACCCGCACAGTAGACTAGGGCCTGATCTAATTACAAAAAATGATAATTTAAAAAAAATTTCCATATTCACAATCAAGGTTGGGCAGCAATCAATTACATATGCGATTACCTAATCATATTTTTTTTCTTCAAATTATTAGACCAATTAATTTCATTTTTTATAATTCCTTTTCTCTTATTTAATAGATATATATAATTTTTTTTTTATAAAAATGATATGATTGCATGTCATTCATTCATATTTTATAATTTTCGCGTTAGTATGAATCATTTTGTATTTTTATCTTGGAATCTGACGATGACTCCGATAAAATTAGGGGAATCACCTCGACCAAATAATTTTCTTAGGGATATGTCCCTTAAATTTTGAGCAGCTCTTTTTATCATGGATAATTCTCTTTCACTTTTTTAAAATTTTTTTCTCTCCTTGATATATACCTACTATCTGACGACCACGATTAAACCACCACTATAATTTATTTTTTAAATAACAAGGTCTTAATCCAATTCTTTTAAGAGAAAACAATCCTTCAATTTTTAACACAATATGATAACTTTAAAAAATTAATCCACCGAATCATCAAAAGCCAATAGGCGACAATTTACTTCACCAGTATATATATTTTTTAGAAAAATCAAAGACATCAAAAATCCTATAAGTAATCACGTGACTAAAGAGTTGATTTCCCAGTTTTTGTTATCAAAAGTTCTGAAGCCTCTGAATTTCGAAGATGAGAGAAAGGATATAAATATCGGATTTAAATGAAGACTTTTCAATTTTCAGAGTATAATAATTGCCAAGCAATCTCGAGCTTTTTAGCAACTATTTCCTACCCATTTTTTTAGGCGTAGTGGGTTTAAATAAAAAATCTAAATAAAATTATATAAAGTCATTAATAATATATGAAACCGTGTTCATTAAACACTTTCAAATGTAAAAGTCCCTAGATTACGATTCTCCAAAACTAGTGTTGTTAAACGGATCTATTTGAGCCTATTTTAAAAAACGGCTAACTCATCCACAAAAATGTAACGCAAGCCTAAAGATTTCACCCATGATAAGGTTTAGAGATCTATTAGCGAAATCTCGTAGATAATTGTTTTCTGGTTAAAATATTTATTTAGTCAATTTTAAAAATCGGCTCAAAACGAGCCGTTTAACAACATTAAACAATCAATATATTTTTTAACATGAGAGTTTTTACATCTACCCCCAAATTCAATCAAAGATAATAGACTTGAAAGCTATATTTAATGAAAGAGATAGAATTAATTATCTTAGAAATTTTCCAACGATTAAATTGGTGTTTTTGAAGTCCTATTTCGTCTTAGGCGACACCGGTTGTAAGACTATTTATTTCGCTAAAATACATTTAAATACATATTTGAAAATATGTGATATGTTATAAATAAATTACTTTTTTTTATAGCCTCTATGTAATGTAATAATTAAATATAATCTTCACGATTCTCTTTTAAATGATAATACAACGTTGCTTATAAGCAATTTTATAAATCGGGCATTATAATGTTCATATAATATTATGTTGATTTGTGTAATGATATACAAATAAAATTAATATATATATTTTTTTAATTGTGTTAATTTGTAAATGTATGATAAATATTTGCTTCTTTGTTGCCTTTTTGCGTTCCATCAATCTTTATTTGATGAGCCTTTAATTAAACTTTGCAGGTGGCAGCATGTCCTTCTAAATGTTGACTGATACATTAGCGATATATTGGGGGGGGGGTTAAGATATATACATTAATTATATTACTTTTGACTTCTAACTGCAAATTAAATTTTTTAGGCCCGAACCTACTCCTGCCCAAATTTTTTAATGGCATTGCAGGTCTCTAATATGAACTTTTAATCCTTATAAAATATTTAAAAGTAGGGTCACATTCTAAGTGACTAAAAGATTAAACTGAACATCCCAAAATCTACCCTGCAGCGTAGATGAATGAGTGTCCCATGAAGATCCGAATATTTTTTTAAGGATTAATTCTTAGTTTGAATTATTTTTTGGAATTTGATAAATCCTGCTCAATTATAATTGATAAAACAATCTAAACGGATCTAATTAACTCATACCTCACCCTTTGAGTTCTCTCACTTCATATTAAGGTCACGTGCTAACGAATAGAAAAACTTGTTAAACTTATTATCCTCCTCCTCTGTCCATTGAGTATCATATATACTTTATTTGTCTGAAATCAATAAGATTCTTATTTTATATGATGAAATAAGTTGGTAATGTATTTTTTCTTTACGTTTGTATGCTGGCGATGATATGAGGTTTCCGCAATCTTCGCGCTGAATTTTTTTGTATGTTTAATAATTATGACAGATATAAATGTAGTAATTATATACAATTAAGTAAAATACAATCCTATTCATGTAATTAAATATTTTCTCTGAAAATAAAATGGATGGTGGGGGTGGGGGAATTCTTTTTAGAAATGTGTATATTATAAACTCATAGGTAACGTTACAAGTTTATGCTTTTTCTTATTTTTACACTCCTAGTTTTTTGATATTATATCGTGCACAAAATTAAGTCGGGTAAAAAATTTGGAGGAAAAACTAAAACCTTAAATTTGATATTGGTCCGTAAATCGCGATTATAAGACGGTGTCGTAGGGCGGAAATTATTTTCCAGCGATATTTTAGGCTCGCCCGCATTGCTACGCTTTAATCTACGGAAAGATTTCATCTATCAAATTTTAAATTTATTATTTTGTTTATTGCAAAAATAAAATCGCAATTTATAATTGTTATTAATTCTTTCTTCATTTAGTCCAACTTCATGCTAAATTACAGACATTATGTTTAATCTTAACTCGATATCTAATCAACACCACTAATATATATATATATGACCAGTGCCACTGATACGAACAAGGGTTTGTTGAGCAGGAGCCATATGACGGACTCTTGACAGGTAGGAAACGGTAAAGAACCGGAATACGTTATATATTCTTCGTTATTCGTCATCAAATCTTTCAGATTTACATCTTCCAAGTTGACATTCATGCCTTTTTTTTGTTTGTTGAGAATTTAAAATTAAATAATAGAAGAAAAAAAACAAACAACTGCAGGTTATATATAATTGGCAACCATTTTTTAATATTTCGTAAAGGAAATTATAATATAAATGATGGTGTAGCGCTTTGGCCCTGGCATGCCCTTCTGTCGGGAAAGGGAAATGGGATGTCTTTCTCTTGAGATGAAGGAAAAGTGTGAAGGACTTTGGCGTTAAGTTCACCGGTTATCGGGATTGGGTAAGAATTTTTCCTTTAGAGATGTCTCAAGTGAAGAAAAAAATTGATATTTTTTTTAAAACATGTTTATCCACGAGGGTTTGGTTCTAACTTTAAAATTTAAAAAAATGAAATCCTACTTTAGTCTCCACAAGATAGTCCTGATCTTAAACCTTAATATAAATCTTATAAGGAATTAATCGTTAAAAAATATTGCAGGAAGCAGCGTAAGGATTCTCTCAAGAAAAAAAAGAGATAAATAATTTATCTATAAATGAATCCCAAAAACTAATTAAGGCTTTAAAAAAAAGTAAGAGATTTTTTATCAATAAAAATATTTTTGTTTTCCGAGATATTTCGGTTACTGATTTTGATTGTGGTAAGGAGATTGGCCACCAATACAACAGCCGATTTATTAAAATTTCCATTCGTCTATTTATAATCACATGATTTACTATAAGATTTTGACAGATGATTGAACAAACATTTTTTAATATATTTTAATCCTGACCCATATCTTTCAAACCTTTAATTTTACCCTAACCAATCTTTCTCCAACCTTTATTCATACTCCTTACTTTAGTTATACTTGTTCAATTTTAAATATATTTCCAGGCAATTTAAACAAAATATAGTTTCAGCTGAACATTCATTGAGTCTAGCTATTTATCACTATTTTATATAATTTTTGAAAATGTTTATATTTAAAAAAAAGTTACTATTACTAAAATATCTCGAAAAAATATAAATATTTTTATTGACGAAAAATCAATGCCATGTTTAAATTAAAACGATGCACAAATAAATCAAACATCTGTTAAGAGACATTTTTCTTAAACAATCTAACCCCCGGAAACAATTTTAAAAAAATTCATCATCTAACACGAAATATAAAATTATTTCCAATATTCCCCAAAAAAAACCGACTTGAAAATTCAAATATAAAAAGAATTTAATACCTAGAATTAATTAATAATAAATCCATTTATATATTTATATTTATTGATTAAAATTTTAAATTATTAAAAAAATTCCCAAAACCCGATAAATAAAATTCGTCGATCCGACTTATTCCGCCGAAAATAAAAAATAATCACTCTTTCCCCTTCCAAGGGTTGGGTTTCCGGTTTTCATCCGGTTTTACAAAAATAGCATAAATATGATCAAAATAATTTTATCACTATAACTAATGCCGTAAGTCGGCTAGATTAAAGAAAGTCATTTTATAGCGCAAATATATTTTTTACAAAATTTATATCGACCATAAATGTTTTATGTATAATAATCATTTTAAATTCCCATGTCACTTCACTCATTTATGTATTATAAATTTAAAAATTAAAATTATGCAAAATAATAATAAAGATATATATATATTAAAATTTTATTAGGTAATTTAAATTTAAAAATAAAATAAAATAGATGTTATAAAATAAAATATAATAAAATAAAATAATAAATAGTACCTTTATATTCTATTTTATGTATATCTTTGAATAATTTTTGTAAAATTGGTGAAGTTGAATTTGATATCTAAAAATATTGGAGGATAATGAAGATTAAAAAAAAATTTTTTTATAGTGTATAAATTATGTTTATATATATGACATGATAGATAATGCCAAAAAAAAATTTGAACCCATATAGTTTAAATCAGAGGCCTGCAGAGGTACCATTTGCAAGGCCCGGCCCGGTTTTATCAAAAATGTTTTTCGGCCCGGCCCGGGTTTTATATTTTCAGGCCCGGCCCAGCCCGGCCCGGCTTTTTTGAAATAAATTTCAGACCCGATTAGCTAATAATGGCGATTTCAAATATTTGATTTTAAAACTTACGGCTCGGATATTTTATTAAAAAAATTATTCAGGCCCGGCCCGCTCGGGTATATTTAAAAAATATGGACTGGCTTGTGTACCCGGACCGGGCTTAGGACCGGGCCTGCGTCTCTGGTTTAAATGATAATATATAAATTTACTTTCAAGAATATGGAAATGGCAACTAACCCGAACATAGAATTCGAAGCTATCGTGTGATTAGAATATATGTCAGAATTGTACATAAACATTTGTATCTTTTTTTTTGGTTATTATTATATAAAAAAAAATTAACTTCGAATTTTGTTAAGAATTGTTGAAATTTATTTTAAAGGAGGATAAATTCTCATTCTCCGCAATTGAAAAATTTTGCGTTTGTACCAAAGTTTGAAAAAGAAATAGAGAAAAAATATTTTTTTTTTAAATGTGATATCATCAAGAAAATTTTTTAATATATAAAGAATTATTCTCTAAAGAAATCTTCATTTTTGAAAGATCACAATCTTTGCAAATGTTAAACTTCTGGTTTCTACATATATATATATGGAACCCGAAAAATCAATCCTTATGTATTATTTTTGAATCCGTAGGAAAAGGAGAGGGGGGGGGGGGGTGATTTAATAAATTTAGAAATTATTAATGTTCTTTTCACGAACCCCTAGTTATGGTAAACGACCCGATTTAAGCTTATATTTATAAACGGATAACTCAATATTTTAACCAGAAAAATTATCGCCTAACCCATGAGATATCGCTGATAAATCTCTAAATCTTTGTGCCGCCTTATTAGCTTAATATCTTTGCCTGATAAAATATGAGTTAGCCATTTTTAAAAATCGGAATCGGCTCAAATCTAGCCGTTTAACAACACTACCCGGAACTATAAATCTTATCCGACCGAACTTGGATCCATTGGATTCGGTAGAGGCATTTTCTTGATTTTAAACTGGACGAATCTTTATTCGAATCGGGCCTCATAGGGATCTTAGAAATCTATTTGTATCGAATGTGTCTCGATACAATTTTAAACTTTGTTCCGGATTTGTATGAGATCTTAAAAAAAAAGATAGGATCGAAACGGAATTAGAGTGGTCGGAAAAAAAATTAATTTTCTCTCTGATTCAATCGGACCCCGAAAAAGGTCAATAATTTTAAATTTTAACACAATTTAAATTATTATAAAAGATAAAACAATTTTTTTTTTTTACTTCAGCTGGAAATGATATTCCATTGATGGAATGCTCGGATCCTATTCCCTCGTGAGAACCGAAATGTAATAGGAGTCGGTAAAAGGAATAATTGTAGGACAATGGCCCACCCCATAATTTGAAAATGGATGGATTTCCTTGGCTTACATTAGTCTTTATTATCAAGTTATGGCCATCGTTTAACAAAACGTCTCTAGATAACTTGTAAATTAAGTTTGTTTATTATTTTATTTCGAGATTATTCAGTGTTAAAAAAATGGCTTGACTATTGGCTCAAATTCAGAGTTTAATCCAAAGACCTGCAGAGGTATCATTTGCACGCCCGGATTCTTTTTTCAAAAAATTTTTCAACCCGGCCCGGGTTTTATATTTTAGGCCCGGCCCGTTTTTAAAAATATATATCTTATTTATTTTCGCGTATTATAGCTAATAATGGCGATTTAAAATATTTGGTTTCAAAATATACGGCCCGGCCTGTGTACCCAGCCCGGTAGGGGCTTACCGGGTCTGCAGGTCTCTGGTTTAATCCTTCATAACGATCAACCTTGGGTTCAATAAAAAATTTCTTATCATGTTAGGTAAAAATATTAATAGCATATTCTTCCTATTCTATTTTATTTTCTCCAAATATTTTTACTATTAACTATAGACTTGTCATTTTTAATCAACAAAGGATAAGATTATCAACATTTCTTATAAAAATAAACGTGTATCTTAGTATTAATAAAAAACTACTCTAATTATTTTCTTTAAAAATGTTTATTTACAGCACTAGATTCAAATTTTAACGGGTCAAGGTTAGGGTCGTGCAAGAGATTTGCGAGTTCTATATCTATAGGTGATTGGTATTTTCCGCTCGAGCACATAGACCATTCGGGATTCACTAGACCCCAATAATTAGCCCCTAAAAAATAAATGTAGACCTTTAAATTTCTTTTTAATAGCTAGTTTTAAGGCTTGATTCCGTGCTCAATATTAAAATTTAGTATCTCCTCCATAACTAATGAATAGAGAAAGATTAACGTATATATTACAAATGCCATCTGATATATAACCTAGAAAACTTATTTTTTGAGGTATTTTATTTATCGTTAAGCCTGACCTCGATGCCAAGATTTGGCAAATAAAGGTTACACCCATGAGCTAAATATTTAGGCTTCTAATCTGAATTTTTTTTAAATTTTTTTTATAGAATATTGCTGTTTATCCTAAATTCTTATTATTAAATTATTTCTTAATTCTGGGTTAAAAACATAATCGGGCCGTTTTTAATCGACCTAAATCGAGGGTCGAACAACATTAATTCAGATAATGTAGGCAATACCCCTGCAGAGGTCAGATTTACCCGGGGTATGAGCTGGATATACGGGGCTTATAGGTCAACTTCTGATGTACATAGAACACTTTAATTATATATAGACAATTTTTTTTTTAAATTTAAATTATACCCGAGAATCCTTCGTATGTCCACCACTCATCCCAAGACGCTGATATATCTAATATAAAAGAAAAATGTTATTTTTATATAATTAATTAACCTATGTCAAAATGGACCCTAATTATTTGAGGTTATAACGAATATATTTATATGTTAACGTAAATGTGTTTTTTCCGACAATGTATTATTTTTTCAACTTTAGATCATTTTTTGAGCGCGTTTTTAAAATTTTTTTATCTGATTTTACCGGTAATGTATGTCGTCCTATGAATTTCAGACAATTTTCGCTTGAACCCTTAAATTTAATATAATTTATATTTATTTTATGATCATATTAATACAAAAAAACATGATATTATTTAATAGTTTTTTTATTTATATAATATAATAATAAACAAATACATATATTAGTAATAAGGAGAAAAATAAAGAGAGGGGGGGAACGGTCACAAAAAGTATTGAGGTTAAAACAAATCATCTTATGGGATGAGGCTGCCAATGAAGCTAATATAATTTGCCTTGTGTATCGCTATGGCAAGTCTCTGTGGTAAGAAGAAGCCTTCGCGAGGTTCACCCGTTAGTTGACGAATGTGAAGGCCAAGTTCTTTGAAAAAAAAAGACAAGGCACATTTCCCAAAAGTTGTAAGGGTTGTGGAAATGATGAGAATGAAAATGTATTCTTGAAAAATTTCAGAATATTTATCTATTTTAAGTGACTTCTTTTTCTCAAGAATATTAAATGTTTGGTTGGGTGGTGCAAGTAAATTTTTCCATAAATTTTATATATAAATTATAAATGAGACTCAAAAGTTATCGGTAAAATTATCTACAATTCGATATGGTATTCTAAAACTTGCTGAAATACATTTCCGGTGAAATCTAAATTTAAAAAAAACCCACTCAAAAAACGATTCAAAGTTGAAAAAAATAACTATTGCCGGGAAAAAAACACATTGACACTAACATATATATATTAATTACCCAATCTGTCAGCAAGGTTTATTAAAATTTTAATTTTATATGAATTATTTTTGTGAATGTTTTCACATTATTTTAAGTTTAAGACAATTTTATAATTTCTTATTTAGTCATATACATGGAATTGTCAACCAAAGTTTTCAACGAGAGTTGGAAATCAATAGAAACAAAAGTTATACCGTCTTTACGTTAAAGAAAATTAAGTTTGAATTATATAAATATTATAATTTAGATCTGTTCCAAGTCTTTAAATTACCATAAATATTGTCTGCCAATATTTTTATACGTGATAAAATTGGGATTACTTTATCATTTAAAATTGATATTTAGTCCTAGTAATTATCATAAAAAAATTTTATTAGCTTAAAATGTAAAAAATTTAAAAGTTACTTTTGACGTGTTAAAATTTTAAGCGTTTAAAAGTTTTCATCAGCATATTTCCCCTAAAAATTTTGTTAGAACCATCGAAGCAATCTTATTAAAACAAATTATGGGTTTAAATTAATGCCAAAGTTGATTTGTTTTTAAATTATCTGAGAAGAAATTTCTGCCCGGGATAACACTATCCCCGGTCTCTATATTATTTTTTTTTTTAAAAAATAATATTTTACCCCTTTATCTATAAAACTATACGATTAGCGTTTATATAATTTAATAATATATTTTTTTTTCAATATTAATTCTTTTTAAGAATAATAATTCTTCTTTTTCATAGTATATTATTTGTACTTTCATTTTTCGTTCTTTACAAGACAAGACTTACATATTTAATGATTTTTTTGTAATTTTTTTTATATATTATATACTGTATTATATTTGAAGTAAAATAACATTTTTAAATCATCGGGAAATAGTCAAAAGTCAAGTAAGTTTAAGTATATATATTTATGATCACAAAATTTTTACGGGTTTAGTAAATTTATTTTAAAACAGGGAAGATAATTTAAAAGCGAATTTATGTGATATTCACTTCCCTTCCCTTCCCTTCCCTTCCCTTCCTTCCTTCTTTCCTTCCAGTTTTTCCTTTCTTCCTTCCTTGTAAAATTAAATAAGAATATACGATTAGTTTTAGATTTTTTTATTACCTTTGTACAAAAATGTCAAGGAGAATAAGACCATTAAGCCCCGATGGTTGAGAATTGAAATTATGGCTTCCAAAAAAACTAGGGGAAAAAAATAATAAAATTAGAAAATATTTTTAAGTGATAAGGAGCTATATATATCTTGAAATGTAAATTAAAATCAAGAATTTCAAATATAAAAGTAATACTACAACAATTAATATTTATAATATGTAGAAAGTTTAACAACATTTATTTTCAGATGTCATAAGAGTCTCTCTCTCTATACTGGATCATAGCACGATTCATCATAGTGATTTTAAGTCTTAATAAATTTAATCATAAAAAGAAGTTTATTATTTGTATATTTAAATACTATTTTTTAAATATTCTTGGAAGTTTTTTATTACATTTAAGGTTTTTATCATTTATATCCAATAAAATTTTGTTAAAATGACCACTATTTTTAAGGCTGACAAAATATTTTGGTGATGTGGCCCTGTTGAATAAAATCCGTAATTAAAAGAAGTAACCGAATTCTTCCATACCACAAACTTAGTTATTGTTCAACGGTCAGATTTGTCACCATCTAGTGCCAAATCTTTCTATGATCCATAATCAAAATCTTGACTTGCGTAATATTATTTTGGATTAGATCTTAACTAGGATGTTTACAAATTAAACTTCATAAGTACATGAAGAAAAGTTAAGATCAAATGGAATGGAATAATTTATAAAAATGCTATATATTTAATCTTACCCGAAATATAGGAATATCTCATTCCTTTTAGGAGCTAAAAGAAGATAAATAGATTCCTTTAGTTTTTTAGGATTGATTCAAATCTTAAATCATTATATATTTAATTTTTATTATTATATTATAGAGTTTTCTCATTTTTTTTGTTTCAAAATTGGTTTATTTTAGCAAAAATATTTGTTATTAATTAAATTAAAAAACCCCCAAAAAAGTTGTAAAAAATATTTGATATTTTATCTTATTAATAAACGTTAATTTTTTCTATAAATCCGAAATATATATTTTCACAAATTCAATTATCACCGAAAATAAAATATATAAGTAATTATATTAAAAAATATTTAATAATATTTTGATATTGATTCAAAAAATAAATATATATATATAATAATAACATAAAAATAGATTATAAACGTTTTATTTTATTTATCTAATTTTTGGTATAGTAGTGACATTTCATTCCTTTTTAGGTATTATAAAGAAATAAATGATATCTAAAAAAAAATAATAAAGAAAATATAAGAGAAATATGTGTGACAAAAAAAAATGAATCACATTTTGACCGATTTTATAGAAATCAGGCACATGCAAGGCAGGGATGAAACATGCCCGATAATTAAAGATAAATAAACACGGAAAAAGCCTGGTCTAAAAAATGCTTTTTGCCAATTTAAGGAATGGAAGATGTTGAAAAATCTCATAATAAGAGTGTTAAATATTCATTTATTACTCATTCACTTTGCCTTTAAAAACAATTTATGTCCCTAAAATCAAAATAAACAATATTTTAAAAATTCGAGTCCTTATTCAAAATTATGACCTGTGCAGATCCCTGATATAGATTTATCATTTTTAGAGTAGCACTCTAAGCGAAACGTTCTATTAGTGTTGTTAAATGGCAAAACGGCTAACTCCATATTTATCCAGAAAAAATTGAGCCGTTTAACAACAATAGAAATAAGTAACACCCCATACTTTTAACGATACTTTTCTAAGAGTGTATGTATTTTTTTTTATCAGAAGAAACGCAGTTACTAGTTGCGTTACTGTCATTGACATTACTTATAAAGCACTTCTTTTAAAGTCATTTATTAATATGGTTTAAGCCGAGTTTTATTACGATTTTTTTTTGAAACCAGTTTATACTTCATAATCTATTAAAGTTCACTTTAAAATAAAGAGATATTTTATAGAGTGAATAATTGGTCCCCAAGGTATCCGAAATTGTTAAGCAAATTTGATTAGGAAAGTCAATAAACACTACACTCCCTTACAATTTTAAAGCTGCTATAATTACTTTCTTTTCGTTTTAAATTAGATTTTAAATTATTATTTTTTAAATTTCATTATATTTGTATTTTTATGATTGCTTTTGCTATGGACTTGTTAAATTTGAACATAACCTATTATAATCTTATATTAGCTTTGCTCAAAATTAGACAATTGAAGTATAAATCAAATTCCTTTGAAGATTGGTTGTTATTAAATTTAGTTGAATTTGTTTGCCAATAAAATTATAGGGTTAGAAAATGGAAAATTATAAATATTTTTAATTAAAAACCCATTATGATTATATTACGATAACAAAAAAACTTATATTACCAATTCATTTAGTGCAGTTTAAGAACTTTGGAGAGATCTAGAAAAAATTTATTAATCTCTAAAAAAAATACTAAATATAAATTCTACGGCTGTGCTCTGAACAATGACATATGATAATACTTTAGACTGACAATACATTCATTAAAAGCGTACACCAATGAAAACAGCTGGGGACACCATTTTGTCATTACTAAAAATTCCAAACGTTTATTCTTATGTCTGACGCAATTTATTAAAGAATTGCCGATCATCGAGATAATAAGGAAGGAAGTTATCAATCTAATAGTAGTTTTTAACATGAGAATAATTACTATATGGGTTACCAGGCGGGTCCATTTGATTTTCATTCAACCACGCTTCCATGCATTATTATGAATGCATCGTCAGTCTAGGTATTATCATATGTCACTGGCCCTGACTTGTCCTATTCTTTATAAAATTCTGAAAAGCCGTTCTGATTAGCGATTTTTAGATTTAGATAAATAGGAATGATTATACTTTAAGCGTGTTATGCCAAAATCTATCACTTAAAAGAAAATGCCGTTCAGGCTGATTAAGACGGGATAGGACGTTTGACTTGAAACCGGATGTTCTAAATTACATAAATTGATAAGAGAAAAATTGAAAGCCTCTTATTCATCTTGTAAATAAATTGTTTCTTTTACATTTAAATTTCAGGATATATTATTAAATATTTTAAATATATTTTTTTATTTTTATAATAATAATAATAATAATATAGTATTTTACCCAATTTGGCTTAATTTTAATTACTTCGTTTACAAAAACTTTGATAAATCTTTTATTTAGCATTGTATAGGCACAAAGATTATTATGATTAGCCATAAAAAACTTTTTAAACTAAATTCACCATTTTAAAATTGCCTATTTATTTTTATAACATTATACGTTACAGCAGGGACGGCACTGCCTTTACAACCTCAGGGGGAACAAATATTTTTTAAATTTAGGGGGCTCGAGTTCCTGCCCCCTCTAATAACCCTACTGCTTTACAGTTAAAACACATTAATCGGTCAATGCGCGTATTGTCCAGTATGTGTAGAATACCTATCCTATATATTTCAGATAATTTGATCATGGACTTTATGATTTGACTGTACTGTAACATATATTTAGATATAAATTTTTAGAAAAAGGCAATGATTTTTTTAAAAAAAAAATATCTTCAAATTTCTTGCAACAAAAGTATAAATATTTTATAATTTAAAGACAGTCTTAAAAAGTTTACATTTTCTCAGCTGGCATTAGAGATGGAGGGAGGGGGGGGGGTAAAGAATTCAAAAGGGGTAAATTAACCCACCCACTCCTACCCCTCCTTGTTACATCGCTAGATTGATGGAATGAATAAAATTCTAGCCACATTTCATAATTATAATTCTTAAATAATTCGTTCCTTCATTATCATTCTATGAGGTGTGATAATTTTTTTTCCACAAGACTTCAAAATATATAGTAATAAATATTATATCTTTTATTAAATGGAAAATAATCTATTTTTATAATTATTTTTATTTTCAAATTATCCTTTTTTTTATTTTATAAAAATATCAAAATTTGTATTGTTTGTCATAATTGCAAAAATTGAAATACATTGATTTCACCTAACCGCCTTAAACGTTTTTTTAAAACCGAATTTTATTCTTTGAAATATTTTAAAATTTTATATCCCATTTTTTAATAGCAAAATTTTGGTGACAAAAAAGTAAATGAATTTTTTTTTATAATGTATTTTTTAAAATTTTCATTTTATATTCTCTGTAAAATATATAATAATAAATAAAAATTTATTTTTAACCTAACAATTATTAAATTAGAGTGGGGGTTGTGTTTTATTAATCCTTTTGATAAAAATAATAATTGCTTTTTTTTTAATACTGGTAATTTCACATTATCCTAAATGTAATGACAATAAAAATAATAATAATAAGACAAATTAAATGTATTACCCTTCAAAAAACTTTACCAAGATTGGTGTTGTTAAATGGCTCGATTTGAGCACTAAATATTTTAGCCAGAAAAATATTGTCTATGCCTCGAGATTTCGTTAATAGATGTTCAAACCTTTGTGTCCATCTATGAGCGAAATCTTAAGGCTTGCATAATAATTTTTCTTAATAAAATATTGAGTTGGCCGTTTAACAACACTAACCAAGATTATATGCCAGCCAACCCCCTTTTATTATTAATAATATTTGGATTAGTTTTTTTTAAAAAAATATAGCATTCTCATGCTATTAGCATCTGGCCGTATTTGAGGCTTGGACTTTCGAAATAAATTTACGATAAATCGAAAACTATGTCGAAGTAGTTCGACAAACTTTTTTAAAATTTCTAATGCATAATGTTAAATATTTAATAGCCTAAAATGGACACGTTTATTATTTTTAGATTAGTTATAACCATTAAATACTCCAAAGGGGGTTTATAGTACTCCAAAATTGCTAAAAGTTGCTATCACCCGAAAGCCCTGAAGTATTATGATGTAGAATTTTTAGTTAGCATCATTAAAGATATCTTGGAACATACATTCCAAATCTTACTTATGTGGTTGCGTAGTTTTTAAGGCATTTCGTGACTGATCAGGGTCTGGGAGTATGATTCAAGATCGTTGATGGGATAGGGAGGTTATAAAGAAGCTGTTGTCATTAGATTAAATTGGATAATTAATTTTTTTTTGTTGGGGATTGGAAGTAATATCGTGGTTCTCTTAGAGGGGCATAGAAGTGCTTATTTAAAAGAATTTATATTTATAATCAATATCAAAATTACCTATGATTTTTGTATCAACTTTGGGATAGAAAGTTATAAGTCAACACAAATAAACCAGCAATGTCTATATATAAAATGAAATTACTTAAGGAATTTTTCGAAAATTTGAACATTTCTGACAAAATTGTAATTATTTTAATATAAAATGGATAACTGATTAAATATTTTAATTAAGAGGGTAGTCCACGTTACCCCATAAAAACTTCTAAGATGGAGGCAGGGGAGAGGGGGTAAGACGCAGGATTTTAGAATATTTTTAGGCGAGCAAGAGTATACAATTATTTCTATATTTTTTTGAAATCAAATCAAACTCCAAGATAAATTATCTGTTATAAGAAATCTAATCTAAACTCAATTTGGAGTAAAAATAAATAACTTATATTTTTTGGGTGGAAAATTCATGAGAATTTTGCTAATAAACAGAAATTTATGTAAATTATAACAGGAATTTATGGGAATTCTAGGGAAAAAATAAATTTATTTAAAGGAATTTTTTATTTTATATCAAAAAAATTAACATCTAATTATGACTTTTTTACGTTAAAAATTAAATAATTGCATTTTTAATGTAATTATAAATCATTGCTAAGTATATAAGTTAATCTATTTTGGGGAAAAAGTTGTATAGTAGTCAAATAAAATATAGGTGTTATTAGGCTTAGGAAACAAAAATTAATGTGAAAGAATATTCTGAATA